GTGATGCTTCAGGTATTGGCATAGGAGCAGTGCTTATGCTGGAAGGACGACCAGTTGGTTACTTCAGCGAGAAACTAAGCGGGGCAGCCTTAAACTACCCAACTTATGATAAGGAGTTGGATGAATTGGTTCGAGCTTAAGAGACTTGGCAACTCTACCTATACCCTAAGGCATTCGGGATTTACACCGATCATGAGTCCTTTAAACATTTGAAGGGCCAGCACAGGCCAAATAAAAGGCATGCGCGATGGGTGGAGTACATTGAACTAAATCCCATGAAGTTGTGTTATGATTTGCATCACTAATGTGCGTAGAAGGGAAAGAGTTCAGCCGAGAGAAGTAAGGGTTGAGGATGAAGAGCCTTATGGGTCTGGTTTTGATGAAGAAGATGATCGGAATTCTGTTGTTAGTAATAGGAGACATGGAGGGCAGTTTAGAGAATCTAGGAACCGGGAAGATAACAACTTGGGTGGTATTAGGATGAAGATTCCATCATTTGAAGGTAGATCTAATCCCGAAGCATATCTTTTGTGGGAGAAAGGATGGAGTTCATATTTGACTACCATAACCATTTCGAAGCAAAGAACGTACGTGCAATCCAAGAATGACAGAGTCCCACAAGTGTAAGTAATGTTTGTAGTTTTCATGGACTTGCTAGTTTCTATCGACGGTTTGTGATGGACTTTAGTAGCATACCCGCACCACTTACCAAAGTGATCAAGAAAAACATTGGATTTAGATGGGGAGAAAGACAAGAATTGCCATTTCAATTAATCAAAGAGAAGCTGACCAACTAGTTGAAAGCCGCTTCTGTCAAGGAGTTGGCAAATAGTCTTATAGCTTTAGGAATTCGTTAGCCCTGGCCTCACTCCACTAAACGATGAAGAGGCCAATGTGTTCCACAGTTGACTGACTATTTTCACCTGAAAATGTATCAAACATTGGAACTTTATACCTCCTAGGATATTCATATTTCCTACCTATCCAATCTGGTTAAGGTTTGTGGTATGTCGTCCTGATCACCCTTCTCATCATGGGGCTGACATGTTCTTGAATGATTTCTTCCAGTTGGTCCTTATTCATGACCACTTGGGGTGCCACAAGAAGAACAATCAACGATTGCCTTTAACCTCAGGATTGGGGGGCCATCTTCTATTGGAAAAGAGGATTGTTGTTGCGCATGTGGCCATTCCATGCTTACTATGCCCGTTGAGGCAACACATATAGAGGAAGCACTAGTTGTTGTGCTTTTACTAGAGCTGACTATACAGAGGGAGTGGTGTTCTTTTTGTATCATTTCCGTGATGGTCCTTCCTCAATTTTTTTGCTCTGTTTTACGGTGTTTTGCTGCAGGCTATCCAGGCCTGCCTATTTGTTCGGTGTTGGGTGGGTGATGTTTTGCTGTTGTTGGTTGTTCTGGATGCTTTCATGGATGGCTCCTGCTGGTTGTGTTCATGGTTGCGTTTTGGTTGTTCTGGATTCTGCTCTTACCACACTGCTGCATATTGCTTGCTGGGTGTACCACTTTGGGGGCAAGTGGCGTGTTGTTGGTATTTATCTTGGTGGGTTTTTGTTTTTGGTTGTTGGGCGCACCTCTGGTGGGGCATGTGGCATGTGCAGGTTTTGTTTTGCTGGTGCTTGCATTGGCTGCTATGTCTTTATAGTGGTTGTGCTTGATGCTGCGACTGATGATGCCGTTTGTTGTTCTGCTTGGTACTGCTGTTTGGTGTTTCATTTTGATATTCTTGTCTTGATGTCCAGTTTGCTGGACTTGTCTTTTTCTATTTTTCTTCTGGAATGTGCTTCGAGGATGGGGGGATCTTCTTTTTCTTGTTTTAAGAAGATCTTCCATCCCTTTTGGGTTTAACATGTGTACATTTTCCTTTTCTTAATGATATTATCTTACTTACCGAAAAAAAAAGACTATACAAGGGGAAACAATGGTTTTCTTATGCCCCCCAAACTGCTCAAACTATTTGGTGTGACAGGATTCTTTTCTCATCAAATCCCCCAAGTCTTGAATAAAATCGGAGACTTGCTGAGAGACTTCCCACGGAATAGCCTTGATGGAGTCCTCTAGCTCTAAGTTGGATTTGTGGCTCTCTTGCCCCCCGAGTGGAGGCAATTATTCTTACAGGTTGGGGTCGTGCATTGGAGGAACTTTAGATGAGCCAATTTTGTCCTTACCTTAAGTGTTCGCCATGCTGTCTTCCTGATGGTCCCATTAGGCGTGCCCAAGTCCAGTTAGACTTAAAACCCAAATACGTATGACCTTACCTACTCGAACTGACATGGGGTTCTAAAATCATGGCTGTTTAGGCGACTGTAGTGAGACATAAGGTTACATCTTGGTTCTTTTCTATGCCTTGGAGCTTCAAGGACTTTAAATAATTTCACCAGTCAGAGACATGTGAACACTCTGAAAATAAATAGCGGGAAAGCAAAGTTAGAAGTAAATTAAATTCGAATCTGGAAGACAAATTGAATACAGGATTTAACAATAACTAAAAACAATAAAAGATCACCATAGTGATGTATTACAAGAAAAGTAAAGGTTGTTCGGAAGAAAGAAATAAGTAAAAATATAGGCTGGCTTTGTGAAGAATATTTGTGATTGATCGTGGGATCTTTTCTCGGTAGCCTAACCTCTACTATTTATAGAGATGACTCTCAATCATTGATCCATCTTTTTTGGGCACTACTTGCGATCATGACCTTGTCGCTTAAGATAGTGAATGTGTGCTTAACCATGTCTAACTAGTGGCTCATGATATCACGTTTCCTCGTTTCTCGGGATTCCAATAGTCCTATTCGTCTAATCGACTTGTTAATTATGGACTCTCATAGTCTCCTTTGTGGTCGTCAGATTCCTTCCACGTGTCACCCTTAGATCTTGGTATTTTTGGGTGTAAATAGTTTTATATTAGGAAGCTCAAGATGCCATGTAAACTTTGAATGCCATTTGTACCAACCACATGTTTAGGTGATAGAAAGCATGAATTTGACCCCAATGGCTTGATTTTTAGTGAAGTAGAAAACAATGCAATAAAACCAATTGCTTAACCTATATGAACTAGAATATTATATACATGCATATGTATGTATGCGTATGTATATAATAGTGGTCTGCCATATATAAAGTACATATATTTGATAAGCAAACATGATATGTATTTAATGTTGAGCAACAAATTTGCTAAAGTGATACAATAATGTCGCTTTGCTGTCAATAAAATTCATTAATCTTGCTAAAGAACTTATATCTTGGTTGTGGTTGACATTGTCAGCATAATGAGCCTGTTTGGAGCTGACTTTTTAAGGTGAAAAGTTATAGTTTAAAAAGTTTCGCAAAAAAGTTTGAGTTAAAAAGTCTCCCAAAACCATTTAGGATATTCTTTAAAAAACTGAAAAAAGTTGAAAAATCCATTTGTAGTGTGATTTTCTAGCTTTTTTGTGTCAAAATAAAAAAATAATTATATATATGTATAGATTATGCATAATAGTTCCCAAAATATGAATTTTAAATTTTTTTGTGTCACTAATATTATTTTTATGAATATAATAATCTAAACTGTTATTTGAGACCCACGACAAAATTCCAAAAAAGTCAGAAGAAAAGACCATAAAATCAGCTTTTTGAATTAGCCTAAATAAGTTTTTTTTGATTCAAAAAGTTGTTGCATAAGTTGGTAAAAAAAACTAAGGTCCAAAGGAGCATGACTTATTTTACTAAAAAATCCTTAAAAGTTGCCTATTTAAGCTAGACTCCAAACAGGCCCAATATATTAAAAGAGATTGACTAGTTTTTTTTTTTTTTGAAACCAAACGATATTAATTGTACTATTGAACATACATGCATACAAGGGCATTCCCCTTAAACAATGTGTTACACCAACATTCAAATGTGGTGAAAAATGTGCAAGGGACACTGAGCTTAGGTTAATAACGTAGAATATAAGAATGCCTACAAATAAATGAATGAACTTAGTCAAAACCATGATTAAGTAAAAAGTTTGTATAGCAATTACATCAAATAAGGTTTTCAAATAGGAAAAATTTCTAGGTAAAACCTAAAATTTTGTCAGTAGAGCTTATTCTCTAGGAAAACTTTCACCAATACTTTCGTTGACGTTTGCTCGACGCTACCCTGCAAATATTGTTTTCCTAGGTAAATGTTTGAATATAACGACCAAAGCTACCATTGGAAATTCATTTTTACTGCGCCACCCATTAGTCCATAACGTTAATTCTTTTAAAAAAATAATTAAAAAACTAGAGAAAAAATAATTTTCGAGGAAACTTTTCCACAATAAAATGTCACTATTCGTAGGACAACATTTTCATAGGTAACTAGTCCAACTTTTACCAAGGAAATAATATTTCGGGGAAAATCTCCTTCTATTAACCTTTCATCAAAGAAACTATTTTTTCCTATGTAAAAACAAATTCTATTTCTTTTAAAATAAAATTCTTATTTGTTAAAATGCCTGCACATTCAATTTAACATATAACAAAAAATTACTCCACAAATCAAAATGCACAGCCATAAAATTTAATTCAACTCATAGGGACAACCTCTAGCAATTGAAAGAAAGTTGTGAACGGGCAAAATGAGAGCTTTTTACCATACCCATGCCTCTCAAAAACATAAATTCAAAAACCAGTCACTTTTAAACTTATTTTCCAAACTTAAATTTCTTCTTCAAAACGTCATTTAAAATGAAGTCTTGATGGTTAAAATGTCATTTCAAATGACTTTTGTAAAGTTGAAAAACTTAGATATGTTAACTCAGAAAACATCATTTGGTATGACACCTTTAAAGACATTGTTATAAATGACGTCTTTAAATTTCTATTTTAAACGGTTTCCTTAGCGGTGACTACTCCCAAATACTTTACGTTAAACATTATATCGTCATTCTAAATGATGTATTTAAAAATGTCATTTTGAATGACGATTTGTACGAATAAAATGAGATTCAAAATTCCAAAATTTTTAGGGCAAAAATCCAAAATCAGACTCCCTCACCCTCAAATGCCTTCAAACCTCTCCACCAGCAATTGATTCCGAAGCCCAATTCCGACGACGCCGTCGGCTCACTCTGACATCGACTAGGAACTCCGATAACTCTAGTAACTCCGACGACTCAACATAGGTATTCTCTCTTTCACTCTCTCTCTCTCTCTCTCTCACACACACACCAAATTCACCACCCAAACCACTACCGAAATCACTACCACCCTCCCCCTTCCACAATCCACCCAAACCTCTCCCATCCTCTAATGCAATTCAATCTGATCCGTTGAGCATAAATGGAGGTCCTATGACTCAGGCAAGAGCAAAAAGGATGAAGGAAGCATTGAACGGGCTGATTCAAGACATATGGGTATTTTGTGCAAGTTCAAGCATGGAATATGATCCACTTGGGCAACAAAGATCCATCAACGTGATTCAAGTTCTAAAGATTCCGGGAAAGGCTAAGCTTAAAATTGGCATGTTTAAAATTGGTCTGATTGTAAGACTTTCCTTATCTTTTTAGGCATGTGAGTTATTCTTTTTAGAAAAGAAAGACTTTCCTAGTTTAATTAGGTATGTGATAAGCATATTAAAGGGCTGATATTGTTTTTCTCTTTTAGGAAAGTAAGACCTATTTCTTTACCCACAAGTAAGAGATATTTATTCACCAGCAAGTGAGAGATATTTCTTAAATAGGATAAGCTATTTTAGGAAGTTTTCTTTGTAATAACCAGCCTACAAAAAGGTGTTCAAAGCATTATAAAAGACAAAATATTTTTATGTCTTATTTGTATCGCTCAATCTTGAGTGTGGCGTCTTTCTCTTGAACTTTTAACCTTGGGTTCTTGTTTCTAGCAAACATTGGGTCTAGGGTTCTTGGTTCTTATAATCTGATTTGTGAACTTTCTTGGTGAGTCTTCAATCAATTTGCTCGTGGGTTCTTGAATTCGTTTATGGGTTCGCATCAGATGGTATCAGAGCACTCGGGTCTTGTTTTTCTAAAATTCAGGTTGGTTATCTTTGTTTTGTGCACATATAATCTGTCCAAGTTAGGTTTCTTGCTGCTATTTGGTGTTTCTTTTTCTGTTTATTCGCATAAAAAAAAATTAGGTTTTTTTTTTATCTCTCTCTTCTTTCTGCATAATTATTGTGTGATTTGGGGCATGACTTGCTGCTGGAGTTTCAGTTGTTTTTATAATTTTAATATCAATTAGGGTTGCATAATATGGGCAGAATTGAATACATAACTTGCTTGTGAAGTCTGCTGCCCAATTGCGTGTAGCTTGCCTCTTTTGTGATTTGATATCAAAAAAAATAAAATGGAAGAAAAGGAAGAAAAGAGAAAAAAAGAGAGAAAGAATCGAATTGAGGCTAATTAGTTTGCTTTAGGGCTGATTGTGTTGAGATTTGAACCAGAATAATCAAAAAAGAAAATTACTTATTCTAATCATTCACGCATTTGTTATCCCAAAACAGGTCATCCTATTGATTTAACTCCTTTTATTGATCCATTTGTTGCTTTTGAATCATTGTTTCGCTTAGTTTTCACTGAATTCGTTTTCTTTGCTTTGTTATGTTTCTTTGTTTCATTTTTGTGTTTTCGTTGTTATTCTCTATTTTTCATTGTTAATTCTGGTCCTTCCTTCAATATTTGTGTCTTATATTTTTGTTAACTTGTTGTGCATTGAGGGAATGGTTGGTTTTTGGTTTAGTTTTGAATAGTTTGCGAAAGAACGACAAAGGAAAAACGAGTAGTTAAGGAGGGTGGTACTGATGTCCTGTTCAAACTTCGGGCTATCCAACAACAGTTCGAATGTATGAATTCAAGGTTTGATTACATGAGAAATCAGTTGGAGGAATAGGCGAATGTGATTAATGAGTTGAGAATGAATGAGGGAAGGAGAGATGATGGACATGATAGGTGTGAAGCACCAGTTGAGAGGAGGCAGGATAGCTGTCATCAAAACATTAACGATGATGACAAGTGGGATCTTGGCAATTATTTCAATGACCAGACCACGTTGATTGGGTTTGACCATGGTAGAGGTAGTCGTGGAGGTGTTAGAGATGTTTATCAGAGAGATGGGAATTTGGGTAGCATTAAGATGAAAATCCCAGCCTTTCAAGGCAAGAATGATCTGGAGGTTTATTTAGAGTGGGAAAAGAAAGTGGAGTTAGTGTTTGATTGCCATGAATATTAAGACCTCCACGATTGGTGCAGGGGTTGACTTAGGGGTACAGGAATGTTGAGGAGTATTATAAGGAGATGGAGATAACCATGATTCAGGCTAATGTAGAGGAGGACCGAGAGGCGACCATGGCACAATTTTTGCATGGTTTGAACCAAGATATTCAAAATGTAGTTGAGTTGCAACATTATATGGAGATGGAGCATATGCTACACATGTCAATGATGGTTGAGAGGCAACTAAAACGAAAGGGTTCTACTTCTTGGAAACTGAATTCTAGTTGGAGCAAGAAGGAAGAGAAATCAGATTCTAAGGGTAAAATTGAAGCTTCCAACAAAGGCAAAGACCTATAGGCTAGCAAGGAGTAAGGTAAATCGGATTCTCAAACTTCTAGAAATAGAGATAAAAAGTGCTTTAAGTGTTTGGGCAGGGGGCACATTGCATCTCAATGTCCAAATAAATGTGCTATGTTTTTTAGGGATAATGGGGATTTTGAAACTGAAAGTGAATCTAATGACGATGTGGAGAGTAAGGAGAGTGAAGGAGAGGAATATCCAGTTGAGGGTGAAATTTTGGTCACGAGGCATGCCTTTAATGCACAAGTGAAGGAGGAGGACAACGAGGCACAACGTGACAACATCTTTCACACTCGCTGCCATATCAACAATAAGGTATGTAGTGTTATCATTGAAGGTGGGAGTTGTGCTAATGTTGCTAGTACCTTATTAGTTGAGAAACTTAATTTGCCTACTATTAAGCACCTTACTCCTTAAGTTGCAGTGGTTGAAAAAATTTCCTATGTAGTAGGAATAATCATTCTAGCCACATGAATTGTTATATAGCAACCACTCTTCTTTACAACCTTCCATGGATAGCTTTGATTTCACATACCTCTCTTAGAATGCTCTCAGCAAAAATTCCTTCTGATTGTAATGACTTTTCTCTCAAACGGCATGTGATCAGAAGAAGGCTAATTGTAAATTCACAAGCACAATTAGTACAGAAGTGAAATCTAAGGAAATAAACTAATCATGTTTGGCATAATCTCATGGAAGAATATTGATACAAATAAAGTAATTTTATTAACATACCCCAGACTTTTGGTTGACGGCCTACACATGCATCAAACTTGAGATCATTTATGGCTTTTTATAGGTTGTAATGTGGCCAGGGTTTAGCGGTTTAAGAAATGACGTCAATGGTATTCAAAAACTATCTTTTCTTTATGTAATGTAGCACACCTTTTTCTAGATTTTCGAAATATCACCTACGTGGTATTTCTTTTTTTCTTTCTTTTTCTCATTTTTCACTTTCTTGGCCATTTTCTGTTTTTCTTTCACTTTCTTTTTCAGTTGTTTTCATAGAATTTTCTTTCTTTGAACAGTAGCCACCATCTTCTTTACTTTTTCTCTTGCTTTCCTATATCATACTAATTTATTAGAGGGTGCAAGAAAATTAGATAGTAAAGGTATGTCAAATATATTTTCCTGTGGCTCGTTAACATATGGGTTACCTGAAATGAAATCACACTTTAAAGGCTCAATCATGGCTAACTAGGTATATGATTTTGTAACAGAAATGGCTAAGGCTCAAAATTAAATCAAAGATGGCCTAAGATCCTTTCACAAACATGTGCACATGCATGTGTCGTATGAACAAATTTCTTTGTGGGATACGTCAATAGATTGTTCTACTTGCATCAGTCAATAACAATTTTAATGAGACTATTCAAGGATAGAAAGTGAAGAACTTTATTTGAGTAAATGTTGATTTTCTCTCAAAAGCATCGCAAGGCTCGAAAACTTTCCATGGTATTATTTGTTCTCTCCACTGGTTATATCAAGTTTTCAAAGAATGTTGGTTATATATCAATTTTATTTTCGATTCTGGTCATCTTGTACCTTAATAATAACAAATACCAATGTACATTTGACATTCAAGCATAGAGAAAATACTATTTTTAAAAGACATGTGGTTTTAGGCTTGGATTGGTAGGTGAGGTGTCAAATCGATCATGTGCTTTAGTCACTCTAGCAATCAATCTCAATATTTACATATGTTTCGTCAATCATTAACAATTGACAATGTAATTCTAAATCTGACACATGCATTTTAAAAGAGGAATATAATAAAACTAAATAATTAATTTCACAAAATATCATCGTTTTAACCCAAAAAGATTCTAATCATCCAAAAACAACAACCAATCATTAATTTTAAGTATAGAAATCTCTTTCACTCTCTCGCCTCTCCCGAGCCTTAAGGTCCTCTAGCTCCACCCCTCAAAAGCCTAAGAATCTCCTCTTGCTGGCGGAGAATCTCATCTTGCCTAGCCTCGTTGCCAAGCATGATGTCCCATAGTGTCTGTCGGGTGCTTGTGTCTGCCTCGGTCTCTATCTGTGCTTGTGTCTGTGCCTGTGCCTCCATGGCCTCTCTTTGATCCTCAACGTCCAAGGCATCCTACACTTCATCGGTGCCTTGGGATGGGGGCACATCCTATCTCACTACTAGGCCTTCACTATGGCCTTGGCTCCTTCAGAAGGATGCCTTGTGCAACGGTCCCATTGACTTGAGTACTCCCATCTCTGGTCTCACCTCCACTCCCTAGTCCAAGCACATCTGCATCACAAGTGTACCAAAAGGGTGTGAATTCCTCTTTACATCAGACCCCTTCATCATCTCCGTCAAGATCAAGGACGGGAGGTCTATGAATTGGCCCCTATTTATTACGTATAGCAAATGAGCCATCTCTGGGAAAAACTCATTCTTGTGTCTGATGGGGGCAAGGTTCAAGACAACAATCAAATTTAGCATTTTGTGCTTGTCCGTCAAATCACCTTGCCTAAAAAATCTCCTTCCTCCCCAAGCAAATGTTGACAAGCCTGTCAACTCAACACTAACTACATCCATCTCCACATTTTTTCTCTGGGGATAGCTCGGCCTTGGTACC